CGCGCCCCGCCCCCCCGCTCTTGCCGCTGTTACAAAAAAAAAAATCAGCCCTGCTACTTGTCCGTAGCAGGGCTAAAACACTGAAAAAACCACTTGCCTGACGCCCGGAACTACATGTCCCGGTCGTCGGGCGATACGAATTCCACACCCCTGTAAATTAAGATTGGGTAACCCCCCGATTCTTTGTCTCACTTGCACTGTATATTTTACCCGTGCTGACTTTTTAGCTCAAATATATTTTAGATGGTGGGGTTTTTTTTGGGATGACGCCCGGAACTACATGTCCCGGTCGTCGGGCGATACGAATTCCACACCCCTGTAAATTAAGATTGGGTAACCCCCCGATTCTTTGTCTCACTTGCACTGTATATTTTACCCGTGCTGACTTTTTAGCTCAAATATATTTTAGATGGTGGGGTTTTTTTTGGGTTTTTTTTTAAAACGGCTACAAGGGCAATGGGAAGTATCTGAAATAGAAACAAAAATCTGGGGAGTATATCCATTTTCAGAAGGGACATTCTTCAAAGTCACAAATGTTTTTAAGAGTAGACCATTGTTGTAACCTAATTATAGTAGATTGAAGAAGAGGGGCATAATTCAGATGATGAAGATCTGAAAAATCTGCAGAAATATAAATTCCCGAGTATTTGAAATATTGATTCTGCCACAAAAAAGGAAAATGTCCTTGCATAAATTCAACTGTTAATGGGAGATTAACATTAAGAGCTACAGTTTAGTGCAGATTAACCTGAAACTTGCTCACTTTTAAATTTATGATAGTCCTCTACTAAAGATGGAAAGCCTAGTCTAGAGTTGGTCAGATATAACAGGAAATCTTCTGCATATAAACCCATCTTATGTTGTTCTTTATACAAAGTAATTCCTTGTATTGATTGATTGGCTCGGATGGCCTCCGCCAAATGCTCCATAGCCAAAACGTATAGGTATGAGGATAAAGGACATCTCTGTCTAGTTACATCATTTATATAATAGAATCAGATAATAGTCCATTAACTCGGACACAGGCAGATGTACAATGACAGAGTGCTTTAACCGTAGACAAAAAAGAAATAGGGATACCAATTTGTAAGAGTGCCAAAGATATAATCCCAGTTGAGACAATCAAACGCCTTTTCGGGAACAATTTGAAAGAAGACAAAATGGTAGTTTATATGATTTCGCATAAGAGTTGGTCTTCATGGTGTTATCTCTGGCCTCTCTATGTGGGACAAATCCCACTTGTTCTCTGTGTATTAAAATAGTAGGTATTTATTAACCCCTTCATGACTGAGCTAGTTTTTAGTTTCTGTTAGGCCTATAACTTGAACATTGGGTCTAATCTTTATTATTCCTACGTAATACTGTAATATGGGCTTCTTGCTATTGGGAAGCAAACCAACAGCTATCTGAGATCAAATTCAAAGTAATTTCAAGAATAGGGGCGATCACTATTTTTAGTTTAACATGACCCTGTCCTTTAATAGAAAATTTGAAAGAAAAGAAACCGGGTTGTATACCTTTGTTCAGAGGCGTAACTAGAACCTTCAGGGCCCCGGGGCAAGAAACCATGAAGGCCCCCCCCCCAAAGCACCGCATGGTTAACAGGAAGGCTGCCGAGGTCCCCAGCAAGTGTGGGACCTCGGGCAGCTGCTTGTTTAAAATGTTAGTGCCGGTGTTCTGTCGAACGCCGACTCAGTATCCGCGCTTACGTACAGACGGGATTACCAAGGAAACCGGCATTTATTTACAAAGTATTCGTTTGTAATTGTTAATTGTGACCGGTAATAATATACCATCCATGGCAGTAAATGATGGGCAGCATATTATTGACGGTCACAATTAACAAAATACTTTGTAAATCCCGGTTTCCTCGATAATACAGGTCTGTGCGCAAGCGCAGATGTCGAGGTCGGCAAATTTGACTACATCAGCGTTCTCGACAGAACACCGGTATCTGCGTTTTTTAGTATTGGGGCATTTTCATGAGTATAAGTACTTGTGAAAATGCCCAGCATTGGCAGTGGTGTATCCCTACTTAAAAATATAATGCATTGCTGGTATTCTGACTCCAATTGTTGTGATAGCGATATATCCCTTGCTGAGACCTCTATGCCTGGCCTGTATAAGCAGATATACTCACTGCAGACAATCCTTGCCAGATAGCTGAACTCACCAATACCGATTCATTCAAAAGGGTGCTTTATTCTGAACATCAAGGTTACAGCAGATGATAGGAACAGCAGATTGAATGGTTTCAGTATTGTGCGGTCAAAAAATGATGCCTTTCCTAGCGTATTATGCAGAGTACATGTGTCCTAGTTACATGTGGCCTGTTAGCTGTGGCCATGACACAGGAAGCACTGACCTCAGGAAGAAGGGTGGGGCTTACATAAAGAGGAAATGTGAGGAAAGGAATACAAGAAAAACAGGTGCAATATCACAAAGGGCACTAGATGGCAGCATGTGAACTAGACATATAAAAACGTCCATAGGAAAATGGATAGGAAAAACAATCTATATAAATTCTATCTACATTAAACTTTTATGCCCCATTGGGGCGGCACAGCTGGGACTTGTAGTCCTACATAGTTGGAGCTATTCTGCATTGCTGTATAATCATCCTACAGCAATGCCGAATACCACCAGCTATGCGGGACTACAAGTCCCAGCAATGCATTATATTAAAAGTGAGCACTATTTCACCAGACACACACACACACACACACACACACACACACACACACACACCACACCACACACACACGTGAAGATATATGCCTAGTGAGAGCAGGGCAGCAAATATTTGCGAAGATAGCTTGCTGGGAGATGAAGAACGAACTCCCTTTGACCCTCGTGTGTGTGACCCCTCCCTCGCCTCCTTACCTTCTTCTCCGTATCATGGCTCTCAGCAGCAGGGGAGGTGGGGGGACATCTACTACCCCCCTGATGGCGGCCTTGCAGGATAGGAGTGGTATGATCTCGGGGGGCCCCCTTCTTCCTCGCTGGGCCCCCCCCCAAGTGGTGGAATGCCAGGGCCCGGTCGCAATTGCGACCCTGGTAGTTCCGCCAGTGCCTTTTGTTGGTTAGTAAATATGAACGTATGGTCTTGTGGCACAGACTACACAATATAGCAACAGGTTGAGCTTTTTTGTGTCATGCAGTAAATGTTTCATTGTTGCCAGGACCTTAATTCTGTGACTTCTTTTCGGTCTTTCATCTTTCTCTTCAGATCTACATGCATCTGCGTTCCCATAGCTGTCCAAATGAACAGCGACATATTGTACGAATTCTCTTTATTGTCCCAATATATGCCTTTGACTCGTGGCTCAGCCTCCTCTTCTTCACCAATGACCAGTATTATGTATATTTTGATACAGTCCGGGACTGCTATGAAGGTAAGTGTGTTGCCAACTAACTTATAATAATAATTGTTTTAAGGTTACGCATTTGTCAGAAATGATAATGGTGATGTTAGCATTGTATGGTGTAAAAAAAACAACACAACAATGCATTGAATATATGGTCATGCGAAAAAGTAAGTACACCCCATGGGCAATTGATGTGGTGTATTCATTTTAATTGTCCAAATGAACAAAAATGCAGATTTGTCACATGGAAAAAGTAAGTAGAATCTGGTGGTATTATTATTATTAAATATATATATTTTTATTTTTTTACTTTCATGGGGGTGTGTATAGCTCATATACAGGTAGATGGCATCTTCACTTGTGGTCTTTAGAATGGCAACCTCCCTGAAATGTCAAACATGAAAAATGTGTGTGAAAGGGACTCAAATTCTTTAACGCAGAGTGTAGTATTTTCTAAATCTCTCAGTTTTAGTTAGGAACAAGGAGATTTCTACCTTTCCCCTAGTCGGGAAACAAGACATTTATACTGCTATAGATGCAAATGCGGGCCTGTTGCCCAGCTCCTACAAATGCTAGCCTTCTCTTTCATACTGGTTCTCTGGCTTCAAAACTCTCCTGGAACAAGTATTCAGGTCAAGATTTTATTATCTGCATGCTTGTTCCAGGTTAGTGGCTGCATATTAAAGCGAGAGGGTCAAAATGACAGGAAGGCATCTAGCATAATAGGCAGAAGGTCAGCAATGGCAAGCTACATAATTCCAATATGCAGCACCCACATCATCCTTGTTTCTAGAGCTAAGAATGAGGAATATGGCATATAAAGCATTGATCTTGAAACGGCCATATGGACCTACTGAGCAATAGGTTGTTTCCAGTGTCCTCTGCTGAAAGCATTGTATCCACACTGGGTTTTTTGTTTTTGGTTTTTTTAGCATGTAATGTTTAATTGAAAAGATAAGACATATACAATATACAGTTACAAATAATTATTTGATTCCCTGCAGATTTTGTAAGTGTGCCCACTTACAAAGAAATGAAAGGTCTATAATTTTTTATCATAGGTGTATTTTAAATGATAGAGACTTAATATTAACCAAAAATCCACATGATACAAGTGTTATAAATTGAGTTGCAGTTCAGTGAGTAAAATAAGTATTTAATCCCCAAGGAAAACATGACTAAACATGACTTAGTACTTGGTGGAGAAACTCTTGTTGGCAAGCACAGAGGTAAGACGTTTCTTGTAGTTGGTTACCAGGTTTGCTCACATCTCAGGAGAGATTTTGGTCCACTCTTCTTTACAGATATTCTCCATAAGGTTTCTTGGCTGTCGCTTGGCAACTTGAAGTTTCCGTTCCCATACATTTTCTATAGAATTAAGGTTTGGAGATTATAGGCCACTCCATGACCTTAAGGTGCTTCTTCTTGACCCACTGCTTTGTTACCTTGGTGACATGTTTTGGGTCATTGTCATGCTGAAAGACCCATCCACAACCCATCTTCAGTGTTGGCTGAGTGAAGGAGGTTCTTATCCAAGATTTTGCAGTACATGGCCCTGTCCAATCTGGCAAAGTCTGCCTGTACCTTTAGCAGAGAAACATTCCCATAGCATAATGTTTCCACCTCCGTTCTTGACTGTGGATGCAGGGGATCAAATTATTTTCCTCCACTGTAAATAAATGAACAGAAGATCATTACAATCCAAATATGATAAAAAGAGAATAATAGTAATCATAGGGCATACATCATGGGAGTAAACATAAGCAGCCATCAACGCATCGAATCAGTAAAATAAACTGTAAACTCAAAAGATTAACTATAGGTAATTATCAAGAAACCAATATTATACAGCAAAGTAGGGACATTTTAACTGCCTCCCATTGTTGTTGCACGAGCAATTGAAGTGACATACACACACAAATTAGTACACAGTCAGTTCAAATCAGTGTGATTCAAAGTGTCATCAGTTGGATTTAAAGTGACAGCAGTGTGATTCACAGTGTCAGCAGTGTGCGTCACAATATCTTCAGTGAGATTTAAATTGTCAGTGCGATTTACGGTGTCTCAGTGGATATCGCAGTGTCATCAGTGCAGATGAGTATCATCGGTGCGATTTAAACTGTCATTGTGATTCAAAGTGTCAGCAGTTGGATTCAAAGTGTCAGCAGTACGATTCACAGTATCGTCAGTGTGATTTACAGTCTCAGTACATATCGCAGTGTCATCAGTGCGATTCACACTGTCAGTGTGATTCAAAGTGTCAGCAGTGTGCGTCACAGTATCATCAGTGAGATTTAAAGTGCCAGTGCGATCCACCATGTCATCCAGAGCCCCCCAAGTATACCCACTAGTGAAGATGTCAAACATTTTTTACAGCAGTGAGGAGGCATTTCATATATTCAGCATGTCTAGTGAGAGTGACAAAGAGGCCTCCCTCTCAGATACTGAATCGGAGTACGAACCTGTGGAGAGCAGCGGTTCAGTATCCTCTGATTCAGAAGAAGAAGCTGTCCCAGCTAAAAGGCCCAGGCGTGATGTCCAACATCCAGCTGACATGCAGTGGCAAGCACCAGTAGTGGGGTGGTCCAACATCAGCCACGAAGAATTAGACCCCAAAGAGCACATACTAGTGTACTACCAGAGGCACTTTGAAAACCCTTGTGGCTACCCACTAATTCTGCAACACCAGTCATACCCCCATCTACTGTCAATCCAGGAAGTGGAAACAGAGAATTTTACTGCAATCCAGTTTTTTTATTTGTTTTTTACTGATGACGTCTTCAGTTTAATTGTCGACCAAACTAACCTTTATTTTTAACAGTTCATTATAAGCAATCCCCATTCCTCCTATGCCAGACCATTTCAGTGGATGCCTTTGACTGTTGCTGAATTCAAAATCTTTCTCGGCCTAACACTGAATATGGGACTCGCCAAAAAAAATGAGCTGAATGCGTACTGGTCTACACACCCAATTCACCACAAGCCCCTGTATTCTGCAATGATGTCCAGGAATAGATCTAAAAAGATAATGAGATTCCTTCATTTTAGCGACCATTCAATTTGCCCTCCCCGACGTGACCCCACATATGATAGGCTCCAAAAAATTAGGCCACTCATCAATTTTTTTTTCCTCCAGATTTTCAGATATTTATACCCCAAAGCAAAATATTTGCATCGATGAATCCCTCATTCATTTCACAGGCAGGCTTATTATAAAACAGTATATCCCCAGCAAACGGGCCAGGTATGGGGTAAAACTGTACAAGCTCTGTGAAAGAGACACCGGATACACATATGACTTCCGTGTGTATGAAGGCAAGGATAGTCATTTGGAGCCCCCTGGATGCCCATCGTACATGGGAATCAGTGGAAGAAAATAGTGTGGGACCTATTGTCACCCCTATCCCACCAGGGATACCACCTCCTATGTGGACAATTTCTACAGCAGCATACCCCTTTTCAAACACCTCTTCCTCCAACAAACCCCAGCCTGTGGTACAGTGCGATCAAATCGTATTGGCTTTCCCCAAACTCTTGTCCGCAAGAAGCTGAAAAGGGGGGAGTCAGCAAGTCTGACAAATGATGAACTTTTGGCCCTCAAATGGAAAGACAAACGGGATGTTTATATGCTTTCATCCATCCACTCTGACACCTCCTGTGGAAATCCAAGGAAGATCTGGCTTGTCCCAAAAACCCATGAGTGTTCACAAATACAATCTCTATATGAGTGGTGTAGATTTCAATGATCAGATGATGCAGCCCTACTTGGCAACTAGAAGATCCATTCACTAGTATAAAAAAGTTTCCATCTACCTTTTTCAATTGGCGATGTATAATGCTTACGTGATTTATAAGTCTGCAGGAAAAGCTGACCTCCAGTATCAAGAGGACATCATTACAGGCAGCCCTGATTTACCAGGAAGACCCTGCTGCTGAAAGTTTTCAGCCTGATACAGTCAGCAGGCTGCACGATAGAAACTTCCCTGATAAAATTCCTTCCACCCCAGAACGTCGGGCACCCCAAAAAAAATGTGTGTGTAGCAAAAACGGAATAAGGAGGGATTCATGTTACTATTGTCCATACTGTCCATCAAAACCTGGCCTCTGCATCAAAGACTGCTACCGCCTCTACCATACCTCACTACATACCTCACTACAATATTAGTGTAGGTATGGTGAAGATGTTTATGTGCTTGACTGGATGCCCGATCTCCTGTGTACCGACTTCCACATTTCTGCCTGCTGCCCTAATACTTTGCCTGCATACCGACCACATCGCTGCATGCTTCCTAGACTGATCCGTGCATGTTTATCAACTACATCTCTGTCTGCCACCTGGATTAATCCTTTGCCTGCATACTCGCAAACCTTTGCCTGCCGCCTGAACTGACCTCAGCCTGCTTACTGACCATGTCTCTGCCTGTTTACTGACCACGTCTCTGCCTGCCGCCTGAACTGACCTCAGCCTGTTTACTGACCTCAGCCTGCTTACTGACCACGTCTCTGCCTGCCGCCTGAACTGACCTCAGCCTGCTTACTGATCACGTCTTGGCCTGCCGCCTGGACCGACTCATTGCCCACATACTGACTACGTCTCTGCCTGCCACCTGAACTGACCTAGGGCTGTTTGTCGACCACATTTCTTCCTGCTGCTTGTAGGGACCCATCTGCATGTCCAACTGACAATGTTCCAGTCATCCTATGAAGACAGCTGCACTTCTGGAATCACAGGTACTAATTTGTTTAACTCTTGTCCAGCTTCCTGTACTTGCTGGCCACTGAACATAGCATTGTTTTTAATTCCTGTGGTTAGCCAAGTACCATAACGCCTGCTTGGGTTGGGGGAATGGGGTCATACCATTCCCCCAAAGTACTCCTTACCAAATACCATGGAGCACTTTGAAAGCCTCATGGTGCTCCATGGTATATACACTCCCAGGCTGTGAAAAAGTCTCACAGGTGTGGTATCCCCATACCCGGGAGGAGTAGCAGAATGTGTTTTGGGGTGTAATTCTGAGTATGCACATGCTGTGTGTTAGTATTGGCTTATTCATTTGCAAATTTGTAAAAAAATAAATGTAAATTTTTTTCTTCATTTTCCAAAAACGTGGCAAAAAAATTAAATCTTCCTAGCACTCACCATGTCTTCTTTCCAAAATGGGGTCATTTTGAGGGTGTTTCCTTTGTGCTGGCACTATAGGGCCTCCAAAAATGTAACAGGCAGACAGGGAATCGGATGATTAATTTATGCCCCATGAAAGCCTCATGGTGCTCCTTGGATGTTTGGCCCCTCTACGCAGCTAGGCTGTAAAAAAAAGTCTTGTGTGGTATCTCCATATTCGGGAGGAGTAGTAGAATGTGTTTTGGGGTGTAAATCTTTGTATAAGAAATACCTTATTAACTGACAACTTTGTGTACACAAAATACATTTACATTTTCTTCATTTTTTAAAAATGTGGCAAATAATGAAATCTTCAAAACACTCATCATGCCACGTATTAAATACCTTGGGGTGTCTACTTTCCAAAATGGGGTCATTTTGTGGGTGTTTCCTTTGTCCTGGCACTACAGGGCCTCCAAAAATGTAACAGGTAGCCAGGGAATCAGATGATTGATTTATTCCATTGAAAGCCTCATGGTTCTCCTTGGATGTTTGGCCCCTCTATGCGG